GAGAGAGGTGGTGGCACTGTTGAGCTAAATCCCTGGCCCCTCCCAAGCCATTCTTTGCTGTGCTCTCTCTCTCTCTCTCTCTCTCTCTCTCTCTCTCTCTCTCTCTCTCACACACACACTCTCTCTCACACACACACACACACACACACACACACACATTCCATGTCTACCATGTCTTCGTTACTTTTTTCATTGCTGAGACAAAATACCTGACATCCAAAGTTAGCAGAGGAAAGGTTTATTTGGCTCACAGTTTGTAGAGGTTTCAGTCCATAGTCAAGCATGGCAGAGAGGCATCGTAGAGGAGAAACAGTCCACAGCAGGCAGGCAGGTGTGAGCACAGTAGCCTCTTTCTGTCCTTCATATTTTATTCACACTCCCCACCTTAGGGCAGGTGTAGCACTCACACCCTTACTCCTAGCCTGAGCTATACCAAACCAATCTGGGGACTGATTCAGTAATCACAGCTTGATCCTGGCACCACACACTGTAGATCCAGTTCCCCCAGCACCCCCAACCTCCATGACTGCATGAGGCTTTGGGGGAACATCTGGACATGGCCGTAACTTATCTGTCAGCAATCTTGACTGATAACCTGCAGGGCACTTAGAGCCAGGCCACTTCTCACCCTTCACCGCCATCAGTCAGTGGAGGACACTGAAGGGAGTCACCATGTCCCTGTTTCTGCTGTGCCCACCTCCATCCCCACGGTCTTTTCTCCATGAGTCAGGTAAAGGAAGCCTTCTACCATATCAACCTGACCGCAGCACTTCTCTGCTCAAAGCCTGCACCGCGGTGAGTTGATCCCGCCCTTTGAACTTATTCACCACCTCTCCTCACTCTTCTGCTCCAGCTCTAGTCTCCTGGCTGGCTGACCCCGAATATTTGAGGCACTTTCCATTTCAGGCATTTCTAGCTGCTGTTTCCTCTACTAGTGATGCCACTGTAGAGGCAGCTCTTCAGCCTGGACCCCACTCCACCTATGCGTTTCCTGTCCTGGACAGCTCCCACTCCAGACCAGTTCCCAGACTGCTCCGCCCTCCTTCTCTGTCCCAGCACTGACTTCCACCCAGCTGCCTGCTTCATTTATATGCATTTGCTTCCTGCCTCCTTCCTCCAAGACTGAAGCCTTCGAAACCCACACTTCATCTGATAGCTACTTAAGTCTGTAGGACCTCAGAACAGAGTCTAGACACAGGGTCCACATAACTGAGTGAATGAATAAGAAAGAAAGGATGCTTTAAAATGTAAATTTAAAAATTCAGATTACATGACCTTAGGATTTTCTTTTTCTAAAGAACAACCCCTTTTTTAGATTTCTGCATTACAAATAAAACCTTTTCACCCACGTTTGCATAAGATCTTTATGCTTTTGTGGCCAACTCTTATTTACACTGTATTCCAGGGATTGGTTCACTGTAAACTGGACTGTACATGGCAGACTACAATTCTGTATCGCAATTATGTTTGTGTTTCAAACTTCCATATGTGCCATATAAATTATATGATTAATAACAAAGTTTATCTCTGTTACTAGAAATGTTTTTTTTCATTTTTAACTTTTATAAAAATGTTCTGTTTAAATTTATATATGGAAGACAAATAGAGGTAGGAACCCTAAGGTTTATGAAGTCAAAAGATTCCTCAGAGATTATAAATGATCCACTTTCCTTTTGTTGATTTTTAATTCATTCATTTAACAGTATTCATTTTGCAAATATTATGTCTCAGGCAAGAGGGGCAGAGCCAGAGTTAGTCCTACTCATTTACAGGACAGAGTAAATTTTCTGCTTGAATTTGTAATATTGTCTAAAGATTTGATATCAATGCCTGATACATAAAAGATACTGAATGGACATATTTCATTTGTTCCAGTAGAACTGGAGTTTTGTAGTTAATTTTTCTTCCCTCTTGCAGATTTCAGCAAATATTTCATGTTTGAACAACGACAAGATCTCTAGTAAGTAACGTATACTGAGCACTGACACTCTTGGTGGCTGTCAGTTACGTTCACTTTTTATCAGGATTAAGTTTGGACTGGTTATTAGCCAGGCCACAACACATTTATACTTTGAGTGTCCAGCATGACAGCCCCTGTCCTCGAGGAGTTTGTATTTATTGAGCAATAACTCAGAGAAGACATTCAAGAAGACAGAGTGCTGTCAGTGGTGGACGGAAACAACACTTGGGCCAGAAAGTGGCAATGCTGAAGTGGGTGAGGGCAGAAGAAGGCTCACAGGAAAGGGATCTGGCTACATCAGTCTGACTTCGCATTTACACTTCCTGTGATTATACAATCACAGAACGTACTCCCTCTTCAAGTTTCAGAGTCTGGTAGGAGAGTGGACACAAGGCCTAGAATGTTGTCCCTAGGGAACACGGACACCTAAAGTAAGGGCGCAGGGGTGCCTGGATATAGAATGCAAAGAAAGGTTCCCTGGATGGGACAGGGGGCTATCAGAGATGCTACATTTCTTCTGCTTATTCTAGATGTCTTGGTTCTATGCTTATCCCATATCTTTTAAACAATGAAAGAGTAAGGGTAAGTGACAGGCCAGTCATCTGGCCTGACCTCATTGCTAAGTTTATATTTATCATGTATTTCTGCGATTTATTCTCGTCTTTGTCATGTCTCGGGAGATTTCTCTGAATATATGAAAATCACATTATGTTTATAATCATTTCTAATGTGAACCCTTCAGATATAAGAAAACCTCAGGATAGGCTGACATGAAAAGGAGCTGTTACAGTGGCGTAGGTAGCAACGGCAATTGCAGTGAAAGCTTTTCTTAAAGCGTTGGAGTATAAACGGGCTTCTTAAATTCTGCTGCACGTGACATTTGTTTTCCGCAAAAACGTCACCTCCTGTAGGCCCAGCACATGGATGTTTCGGGGCTTAGTTTCATAACCAGTCATTTACCTCTTGCTCGCAACCGGTTTCGGGGTACTTACGTATTCTTCATAAGCCTCGTGGGCAGGAGGCGGGGGTGCCCTGTATCCGGGCACTGTTGGTGCCCCCCGGGCTCGAGGGGTGGGGACCCCTCTCGCTATGGGGGGCACTGGCAGAGCTCCACGGGTCACAGTGGTCCCTCGAGGGGTGAGGACACCTCGTCCGGGAGGTGGGGGAGGCGGAACGGCACCCCCGCGGCCCCTAGGAGAAAGGCCACATTCAGATGAGACGAAAAGAGAGCTTCAGCAGGTAAAATTCTCATCTCACAGCTTTCACACACCGGGAGAAATCCAAAGTTGTGCATGTGTACGTGCCTGCGTGTTTTAGATTATTTAAAATGTAGAGTGTTTGATCTCCATAAGAAGGTGTATACTGCAAATACTACGACTTATTCTCATGGAAAGCGTAGAAAGCATTGCTATTTTCTATTACATAACTAAAATGCCTAAGTAAAAAAAAAAAAAAAGCCAGAAAGCACATACCCACTTTGATTATACCCTAATTTGCCAAGAACAACCAAATCAGCACATTCGTCCCTGGCCGTAGAAGTCAGCGCACCATTTAGAAAGTAGGTTCAGTATGGCTGCCTTCCCGCTGGGGTTGCTGACAGTGATGTACTATGTTGTCTCTTAGAAAACAACAAGCTGTGTTCACTTTGAAAAGATGTGCACTGCGCACCTTGATATCATCCTGCTTAATAGCAGCTTACACCTGAGGTCACTTGCAATCACGATTCCATTGTTACTGATGTCCAGCATGCGTGTAACCCCGAGCTGTGCAATCACACACGTAAGGCATTTTCATATGGTTACTATGGTGCTAGTGCAATGCATTACTATTCCACAATAAAAGGAACAGACTGAATACTCTGACACAAAAGTAACCTGCACTAAAAGAGCGAGATCAAATGGTTGCAGACTTTTATGGTATTCTGAGGCCTTTAGAAAGGTGAGTGTTTGTCTGAAATCTTTGGGCAAATGCATGGTTATTTCACTTTTTATTACATCTGAAAGGTTGGCCTCCCGAAAGCCGTGCTTTCAGCAAGAACACTAAAGCTTTGGGAAAATGATGACCGCTAGGATGTCAACAATCTCGCGGGCTGCGCCCACATATGGGACGTAGGCTATGCCTTCTGCTGTGAATAGCAGCCAGCTGGCTCTTCCTTGGAGAAAATGAACTTTTAGAAGTGAGGAGTAAGAATGCTGGTAAGGCTTTTAGAATTTTTAAAATAGATTAGAGAGCTACAGAACAGAAACCTTATCAGAGAACAGAGAGCTAATTTGTGTAGAACAGTTTCCTAGACCTGAGGATACAGAAGAACCCGAGATCCAGCCTTGGGTTCACATGCACCAGCTCAGAATACAGTGTTCTTCATTGTCATACACACACAGCGCAGAGTTCTGAGAAGGGGCCACTACCAACCCCACCTTCACCAGCCCTCCCAGCACCTACCTCTGACCTCAAAAGCAAGATGAATGTGAAGCCAGCCTTTGCAATTCTGTCTGAGCCGCTGCTCAGTTTGGTATTTTAATACTCTCAGAAGTGTCCAGGTTTTAGTGACATATAAATCAATTCAATTATGTGGTTATACCACTGAATAATTTAGTAAATATTTTAATTATCTAGGCCTGAAGTATATTTTTCTGATGGATGGAATGCAGATCTGAGTGTATAACAGTTCTTTCCACTGTAAATTCACACAGAGCTGCTCCTATCAACTCTAGTCTTTCATCTTACTCCTTCATCATCCGTCACGGCCCGGCCCCAGTGAGCCTTTCTTCTGAGTCTGGCCTATGATTCCTGAACACTCACTCTGTCTGTTCCCGGAACATTGACCCTGGAGCTCTGTCCTGTTAAAGATTCACATCGCTTAATTTAGAACCCTGTCTGGGGCTGAATCTGTAGATTTGGTATTCTTTCCTTTGTTTTCCTGACTTCTTCAAAGAACACTGTGCTTAAATCTTTCCTCCCATTTAGCCCCGAACCCAGCGTAACCGGCCTGGTTCTTGCTTTTACCCCTGTGTGGAAACTGAGATCGCCCGGTCTCCTCCTGTCTGCCCACAACTGCCCTGGACTCTGCATTCCCAGGACTCTGCAGCTTCTCCCTGAAGGCAGACTCTCATCCGGAAGTGGTTTGTTTGGACTGTCATGCGTTTCCCCACGCCTCCTCTTTCCTCCTTCTTAGTTCTTAGCCCACTCCACTAGCTTCTAGTCTCGGGACCCCCTTGGAATGTGGGTGTTTCCAAGTTCTGTCTTTGATCTTCTTCCCTTTTGTCGTGGATAACCTGCAGTCTATCATTCTAACGATGGCTTTCACTCCACAACAACATGCTGTGTCCTACCTTAGGCCTGTGGCAATCATAAGTTCTACCACTTGCCTGTATATTAGGGTTACTTGAGGATCTTCTAAAAATTCCCAATTCCAGGCCTGTCAAATTAGTCTCCAGAAGCAGGAAGCCTCATTGACTCTAGAGGGCTGCTCTGGCACAAGTGAGCAGCCCTTGAGGACACGGGGAGTCAGATTAGATGTTAAAGCTCACTTCAATTCATGTCAATTTGAGGTCAGAGAAGAAGGCGGCTCAAGACGAAGCAACTGGCTCCTAGCCTGCTGAGCGACTAATGTCATCATCAACTAAGGTTAGGTGAAGGATCAAGTTAAAGGAAAAATGTAACTATTCCTACAGTTTCCCAAGCTCTGTGGGTTGCTTGTGTCACCTGGGGTACTTGACGTGTACTCTGTGTACCTCATTCTACAGCTCCTATCATAGCTGAGAACTGCTGTGTGACCGGCTTGGCAAGAAATTTAAATTAAGTGATGCATGCAGGCTGGTGGGTGGTTCCCAGGTTCACTGGCACTCTAGAGTCAATGAGGCTTGATATCTTGGAAATTAATTATTCTGAACCCATTTCTCACCATTGTGGAACTTTCTGAAATATGTATGGTTTAACTGTTAAAAATCAGTGATATTTTGACAGTGGTGGCTGAAAATATTTAGGCTAAAATTTGAGATATAAATTAAATCCACAGGCTATCTTAGCATCTCAAGATAAGTTTTCACCATGTGTGAAATATTGCTCAATATCTGTGTCCTTTAGAGATGTAAAGGCTGACAATGGTAGAGTGAGCAGAACAAGTGAGTCATAGTCTGTCTGAAGGCTATGAGTGTTATTTATTTTTGTTTTTTATTTTTGTTGTTGTTGTTGTTTTTGGTACCAGGGATCGAACTCGGGACCTTGTGCTTGTGAGGCAGGTGGCGGAACCACTGAGCTAAATCCCTGGCCGCCTTTATTTTTGTTCTAACTTTTAACAAACCGATGCCTGTTTTCCGTTGAAAGCTTGACAAATTCAGAATCCTACAAAACAAATTCTAACAGAGAAAGGTTCCAATGTAGTTGGAAAGTAAACAGAATCCAATAGGATTCACTCTGACCACTGAGGACTGAGTGCAGCTGCGCTCTGTGTACCTCTGTCACTGGCAGTGCACGACATGGTCTTCTGGCTTTCCTGGCTGGTGATACTTGTACGGCTTACATCTGTCTATGTACCTCCACCTTCAAAGATTAAATATGTTCAAGGCATCTTCGGGCATAGGGGACGTGTATAGATCTCCCTCCAGGTAGGTTATCCTGGTTTAAGGAGGAGAACATTTGTGCATCTATTTATCCTAACCCTGAGGGTGAGAGGAGAGTGGAGTCTCAGCCCAGTTCCTCACTTTGGCAGGCTGCTTGGGTTTCTAAGAACTCAGACTGAGAATTCCAGAGTCAGGCTGCCTGTGTGAGCTTAAGGAAAATCTCACATACCTCGGGTATCTCAGCTTCTCACTTATAAGCGGCAGCCACTCCTAGGAAAGTGTGGGAAGTTTGCATAGGGGAATATGTTGTGTTCTGCATGGGACTTGTTGTTACTGTTTCAATTGTGGTGGGGGCCTTGTGGCTGATGCTTTGATTCCTAGTTGTGATCCTGACGTAGAGACATAGAGCGGAACAGCAGATGCCCGTCATTGATCGCCCTTTGCTGCTGATTCCTTTGAAGCAGGAGTTAAGGTACCTGGAAGGAGCTGTAGGAGCTGTTCTGATCCCTCTGCCTCTGACCCCTCTGCCACGCCCAGAATCCTCCGAGCCATTCAAGTAAGACAGTTCACGGAGCTGCTCCTGACGAATTTCATCATTGTAGTCCTAGAAGAAAAAATACAGCCCGAGGAGTTAACAACGGACATGAAGTTCTTACAGCTAAAAAACAAAAACCCTACACAATGAGAAGATAAATCTTGTTTTTCTGCATCTTGTGTGAAACATCTGAGCTGATACATAGAAGTATACATACTTTGAATTTCTACATATATAGAAATTGATATTGCTTCTGTCATCAAGGAAATACTCTGTAGAGCATCACATTAGATTCCCTGAAGTATCACTTAGGGAGTTAGGGAGAAAGGGAGGCTGCAAGGTAGAATGAGAGGTTGGGATGCATTTTGGTCATGGGGATTATTGGCAAAGAACATAGTTGGATGGATCTATGTAGATTATAACTGAATGTAGGGTTTTTAAACGGCTCCCAATGTATAAACCGAAAAGGGAAAATTTCAAGGCCCAGTGCAGAGGTTGAGCATGTATTAAAATCATAAAAATGTATAATAACATTGCCCAACTTCGGGCAAGAGGGTAACTAGGATCCCGCCAAAGAGCCCATCTCACAGCATTGAAAATCAAGGCTTTGCGCACACTTCAGAATGGGGACTATGAATCTGGACAGCAGCAGCAGAAAGGGACTTTCTCAGTAACAACCAGCGACTCAGTCTCAGCTGAAGAGGCTGTCTTCAAACTGCATCAGTGTGGAGCTACATTAGCCATTTAACTGTGCCAAAGAGAGGCTCTGAGTCACTTCGGGCAAAGGCTCCCTTTAGCAAGAAAAGGGCTGTGCTGCGGCTCAATGAAGCCAAAACTACCTGGCAAGTGCAAGGTACTGAGTTCGATTCCCATTACCAGAAACAAAAACAAAAACAAAGGACCAGTCATGTCTGTTTCTCCTTTTGCACACACACACACACACACACACACACACACACTTCCCTAGTATAACATTACAAAGCTGAGTTACTATGTGTTTTAAGTGGTCAATCTGATCTATCATTCCTCTCTAAATCTATGTTTAACTGAAATCAGTCCAGAGGCTGAGGCATTGAGACTGGACATATTTGCATGTTATTTGAGGCCAAGCTGAGGATAAAAAGCTGTGTGTCATCTCCAATGACCAAGGCCCATTTAGTTCCTCAGGTACTGCATGCATGCATCTCAGCAGTAAACAAAGACCACGCACAAAGACACGCTCCTTCCTGGAGACCCATGGGGAAGCGTCCACCTGCAAAAATTCCTAGTGCACATTTTACCCATGCTGCAGAAGTGCCCCCGATCATAAGCACAACTGGTCATTGCTCCAAAGCGTCATTTTCTTCTTAACCTGTTGCTTTCATATTTACCCTCTTCAGCACTGGATTATAGCGATAATAGGCTCAACACGGCTGACAAAAGAGGCAAACCCTAAACGGTACAGTTCCTAACAAGCCATGCATTATTCAGTTTCTACCTCCTCACTTCCACAGTCAGCCTCGAGTGCACTGAAGAGATACATGTACATTATTTAATTGGGATCAGGAACATAATAAATTGCTACTACCGAGTGAAACGACCAGCTGCCGCCATCAACAGAAACCCCAGTCCCCAAAACCTCATGTACTACTACTACTGACTCTAAAGGAAGTATTCATAGCTTCTTCTCTGAGGAATACACTTATTCACTCAAAGTCCTTAGGAATTACACAAAGATACAGACCGACATTGTTGGTAATACTGAAGGCATGAAAATGTTTAACAAATTGCATATACATTCACTGTATATAATGTAACTTAAAGTATAGTTTATACCTGAAGCAGGAAGTATTCGTGTGCAGATGCAGTCTCTCTCATTATAATCATAAAACAGATGAAAGAAGAAAAATCAAAAGAAGAAGAGGAGGGAGGAGAGGAGGAAGCGGACAGAGAGCACTGTGCTAAGCGGATGGGTGGAACAGTGATTCCCAACTGGTTTGGGGCTTCCTGATTCCCTGCAGCTCCCAGCATGCAGACTCCAGACTGGCCACGTGATCTGTGTCGGCTCACAAGACGATTAGAACAAATGACGGAAGAAAAGCCCGGAGAAATGCTTGTGGATGGGCACTTGTGCTTTCTTGTCTCTGGGAACCCTAAGCAACTGGCTGACGAAGTCCGAGCTGGCTTCATGGAATGAAGAGATCGCGTGAGATGGACTGCGGCCACGCTGGCCCTCCCCACCACGGCATCGGATCCCCACGCAGGGGAGTGAAGACATTCCAGGCCAGACAGAAAAACCACCTGGGAAACTCCAGAACCAGGAGAATCAGTGAAATGGGTGCTCCAAGCCACTATGTATGGGGATAATTTATTTTGAGTAAGATCCACCAAACTAGTCAGGCACCACGGAGAAGTCCGTGTGCAGCAGGAGACAGACACACTTCAGATACAGCCCTGACCGGTCTGTCCTGCAGCCTGCTGGGGCATGCATGGCACCTGTATTCCTCGGAGAAGGAGCAGCCTTAGTGGGAAGTCAGCAAATGTGAATATCATAGCCTAGGACCATAGCACTGCTTGGATCTCTTTGCTCTGAGCTTGCCAACACAACTGCAATGGAATTCACCTCCTAGATAGCAATCTGTCAGCAGCAATCTGGAAAGATTCTGCCACTCTCATTCACAGGAATATTTGACACTGAATATTGTTACTCTTTGACATAAGCAAAATTACTACTGTTAATAATCAAATTCTTACCAGCTTAGTGGAAAACACTCTGCTTTAATGGGTTCTCTTCCAAGCTGTGGTGGCAAAAACAGTGCAGACCAATATTGCAGGTTCAATTGACCAAAGAACTCAATTGGTTTGCTCTGAAATCTTAGTGCTCCCAAGACCACACTACCCAAGAGCTTCTCTTGGCTGACAACCAAAGGTGTTTGGGTGCCAAAATAGGTCCTTTCCTGGAAACATGGCCTCACTCTATGCTTCACAGCTCTGTTATGGCTGCTGAGTCACCTTTAAACTCCATTGAGGGTCCTACAGGCGCCCACCTCTTTCCATTGGGCTGGGAGGGGTCTCTGGCCTTCCTTGGCTCTCTCAATTTTTGTCCCAAGACCATTTTCCTCTTATACCCATATTGGCATCTGCTCTTGGAAGCCCTACATCAACATAGAGAGTGGTGACAAAATCTACTTCCCATGATCAAAAAGCTGAGTGAGGGCTTTGGCAAACCCCTTCGTGCTAGCGCTGGTGGGTCCCGTTCCAGGCAGCACACTGTGTACCATGATCAAATCGGTCCACTTGCCACTCTCCTGCTAAGAGTGGGTTCCAGACAGGCTGAGTATTAAACCGATTATCAAAAGAAAGAAGCCGTATTTTTAAGAAAAACATGCGTAAGTTGCCCAACTATTTTCCAACACTTCACTTAAGAACTAACGAAGGCGGGCAGTCACACACCACACCCTGAGTTGGAGTTGAGGACAGTTTTGCAGGCACAGAGGACTGGTGGAAACGACGCAAAAGCTGTTGTCTGCGCCTCTGCAGTAGGTAGGAGAGACTGCACACGGCAGGAAGAGTGCCGAATTTTATTTTATTTTCTCTGTAATGTTCAACATTTTTGGGCTATTTGCTACTAAAATAAGTTTTTCAGGTTTATGATGTGACATAGCAACACAGTTATTCAGTCTGCTTTGTACGTTCCTTTTACCCATGGCAAAATGAATTTCCTGCAGGAAACACTTTCCATGAAGTTCACGAGTCTTCCTTTTGGCCTCTGACCAAGCGCCCCCACAGCAATGGCATACCATATGAACAGGACACACACTGCGTGCTCAGAGCACACGATGTTTGGATGACCCTAGAAAGCACTTATGCTCACAGTCTGCATACTTAATGTATATGCACAATTTCTCTGTTGCGTACACTCCTGTGCACCTGTTCTGCTTGGATTTTGCCCAAATACAAATTGGGAAGATTATTTCACATGCATTTGGATGCCAGCTAATGACAGGTGCAGGCGGGATACCCGGGGCACAGTGAGACCATTTTCCTGCCAATTCCCTTCTGCTGAGACTCCAGGGCCACTGGTGCCACATATTTAAAACTGTGATTAGAAGCCCTGGTGACAAGTGACTCAGCTTTGCCAGTGCCAAGACGGCCAGACGACATCAGAGAAAAAGGAAATACAGTCTCAGTCCTCTGGGGACACGACAAAGATTCCTTGATCCCTGCAGTTAGGTTAGGGCACTTTGACCAGAGTAGTAAGAGAGAAAGCGTGCACCCTGTGCCAGCATCTGACTTGTGACTGAGTTGTAACGGGCAGCAAAAGGAGCCATTTCAGAAAACAGCCAGTGCTGTAGTGGGCAGCACTGAGCAGAGCAGTTTAGGCTCAGAGCTAACAGAGGGTTACATTAGCCAAGACTCAGGACCAGGAGCATCATGACCACAGTATGGTCAGTGAAGACTCAATTAAGATTGACTAAGAATCTGCTCAGGGACTGACTCTGCATACCGTTTATATAAAGATTTTATGAAACTTACTCATCCCAGGAGGTTGAGTATACAAAATAAAAGTGTTGTGGACTTTATATCGTGAATTGATGGTGATGAAAACTTCTGTTACTGAAGAATGTTTTGTCTTTTCCCCTGTCATTATTAAAATCATATCACTTACTCTCTAAAACTTTCTAGAGTAAGACAGAAAGGATTGCATGTGGAAGCCTGCACTGTTCTTGGAAGGGCTTACTTTCTTCCATTTTGCTACTGGCACATGAAACTCCGTGTCCAGATGGACCTTATGTTGTTGTTCTTATGGCAGAGGTAAAGCTCCAGGCAGGGAAGACCCGGATTCTTGGTTCCAGAGGCCCGAGGCAGGGTCATCGGCAAAACTGTACCTGTCCTCTGGGGGGGGCATTTGTCCACTCCAAGCTTTCTCAGGCCCTCTGCGTGGCTTTTCCTCCAGAGCCTCAGGCAGCTGTCGTCCGCCCGCCCCTCATGACCGCCACCCACAGCAGGGGCCGGAATCGGTCACAGTCTGCACTCTGCAGACGGTGGACTGCAAGAGACTGCTGGACAATGTCAGCAACCACGGAATT